GAAAGAATGTCCGGTTCACTGCAAAGCCTATGCAGTTTCCAACCACAACAGGAACTTTCTTTATAGTCTTCCCAAGTGTCATGAGATCCAGAATCACCTGTGCTGAAGTATTCTCTGAACGGACAATTTCTAAAAGGGGCATCACATGAGCTGGACTGTCAATGAGTAACATGTCAAGTGTCAGGAAAAATATAAGTAAAGGTCCAGAGTGGTTAGTAGAACAATGACAATAATAGAATCCTTTACATAACAAATCGTTAATGAAGTTTTGAACATTCCAACAGAAATTGTATATATAAAAGAAATCTTCAAGACACTGAAATCACAGAGCAGACCTGAAGAAATGTGCTCCGATTATGCGGTCTTTTGAGCTGATTTTCTCTCCAATTACGTCGAGGTCAATAGTAGATGTATTGGTTGCCAAAATGCAGTGAGGGGGACATGCCTTCTCGATCTCTCTGAATATATTTTGTTTCAGTGTAACGTTTTCAATTACTGCCTGGAAAATGGTATAAGAGGTAAACATTTAGAAGCAGTCAAGCAAGAGATATCTACTAGCTCATTTCCCAGACCTGAACTGTACCCATCTCTTCTTGTGTATAAAAATATAAAATATCGAGGAATCCACACTGCAGGAATTTTGGAGCACATCATTGAAATATAAGCACACCTCTATAACCATGTCCACATCTTTGAATTCTGTGTAATCAAGAACTCCTTTGAGTAAAGAAAGGGCTTTGTCTGCTTTATCTTGCGTCAGCTTTCCCCTAGATACCAAGCCTTTAACATTTGCTGTCACATGAAAGACCAGTATAAGTACACTCCTCATGGTTTGAGAAATAGGAAGGCTTGGATTGGTTTTTATTACTTTGGTGCAATATAACAATGAGGCCGAGAAATATGGTTATGCCAGTATAAACTTTACTTCTTTTTAACTGTACATTAGAATATGATATATTAAATCTACAGATTCACATTATTCGAATGCACCATAAGGCACTAGAGAAATAACTCTTAGGGTTAGATGGCCTCCTTATTATGGTAGTCCATTTTCTATTATTATCATCTACAAACTAATGATATGAATCGATTCAACGTCTTAGTATCTCAACTACTACTAGGTACCAATTCAACTAATAATTATTTCAGAGAGCGACTACAAAGAAATTGCAAGTGTTTTGGATCAGATAACAACCTTCAACTGATTTTATCCCCTTCAGAAGGTATTCTGAATTGACTTCTTTGAGTACAACAATTATGTTGCTTAGAAGAAGAGCAGTAGTTATGCCAGAACCCATCAGGCCTCCACCAATAACTGCAACTTTTTTCATAGGCCTCGGTTTCAGTCCAACATCAGTTACATTAGGCACCTGCCAAAATTATTTGGAAAGAACCGAAGGTAGAGTGTATTGTCAAAACTAGATGTACAAAGACAACCAATGCAGTGTATCTTCTTGTACTTAATTGCATAGATGTGAGTTCCAAACTGGACATGTTAACGGAAAAACGAACATCATATGATAAAGCAGATCAATCCGGCGTGCCAAACATGATAGTCTCACCTTTGTTGTTGAACGTTGTGCAAAAAAAACATGAACAAGAGCTTTTGCAGTGTCTGACAGTACTAATGCATTGAAAACTTCTGCTTCCTGCAAAACAAATCATGTAGTTGAGGTACTTATCCTCGATTGGAAAGCTCACACACAATAATCTGTGAAACCGAGGGTTTGATTTTTCGCAAAGTAAAGCATGTTCCCCATCCTAGTTCAACGAGAGCAGAGTCCTAAAAGCATCAATTGAACAACACAGGCTAAAAATAGAGAATCGTCATGATATTTGAAAAGATGCCAGTATGGTAAGCCTAGATGTAAAAGCTGAAAACCAAAGCAAATAACAGTATCCTCCATGGACAATCCCTTCTTCAATCACATCAAGACAAGCATGGTGCTGAGGCATATTTGGTGCTGTCTTCTTGGCCTGTTGTCTTGCATTTTTCAGTACTGTACGGGCCTCTGATAAGGAGCCAATCTTGTCAGTCCTATGAAGAGAGCGTAACCATGGTTTGCGTCTATCCGCAATGTCTAAAGCCCATTTCCGGGAAACATTCAACAAATCTCTGGGAGACACAACAGCATCGATGAGACCTAGCTTCTGCCCCTCCTCAGATAATATTGGCTTCGATTGCTGCAACAGTAAGTAGTATAGAAATACAAATCACAAGAATCAGATTTGGCATGCTCGGTAGTCTGACGATAGAACCCACCCATAAATGGATTACATAATCTAACTGTTAAGTAAATTCAAAATTTACGCTTACCAATATCATTTCTATTGCTTTTGCAAGTCCTACCAATCTTGGAAGGCGCTGGGTCCCTTAATAAACATGATAAATCGATAAGTTATCCCACGTGTCTAAAAGATGTTTACTCAACAAACCACCGTCCAAAAGCCATCTTGCATACTAAACAAAAAGAGGGAAATTTCTTTTATAAACTGTCCTACCTCCAAAACCTGGAATAACTCCGAGGGTTAGTTCTGGTAACCCTAGCTGAGCTCTTGGGGCAGCAACCCGAGCATGACATCCCTGAAGAATTTCAAGGGGCAGAACGATTACAACCGGTATAAAACATAAGAGTACTTAGAAGAGAGCAAGTGCCACAAAGGAGAAAATCCAACCATTGCCAACTCTAAGCCACCACCCAAAGCTAACCCTTCTACGGCAGCAACGACAGGTTTCTTCGAATCTGCCACAATCAGAAAACAGCACCGATCTCTTCAGTGCATTGGTTAGTAATTTTTTTCTCTTGTGGAGAAAAAAATATCGAACTCCAAGAGACATTAGCAAGAAGAGAGCTAAAAATTAAGCACTAAACCTTCAATAAGGTTGCAAACCAGATCAACAGATACTTCAGGCAAAAGCGATATGTTTCCTGCCAAGAAATGAACACATATATGAACCAGCCTGTAGTCAAGGAACCTTCCGTATGATCATCGGTTAAAAAAGATATACCAGATTTGTGAATCTTCTGGAAGACATTGATGTCGAAACCGCCAGAAAATCTGCCGCCTTTCCCTGGAGTGATTAATCAATTGTTCACGAAACATAACAATAGTAAGGAACATAGATCAACGCAAATTGCGACTACATCTTCGTAAAAGCAATCAGCAAAATCAACGAATCGCAGAGACATGAGACATGATTTGGAGTGATTCTATAGTCACTTTGCTTGATCAAAGAACACCAAAATCAATCAATTAATTTAAAAAACAAAAGAACCGAACTCGATACCGACATGTAAAATCCCTCCGGAAACAATAAGACATTCGAACCCTAAACGAGGAGCAAAAAACCAATTTTTACCGGTCAACACAATCGCCTTCACATCACTCCTCTGAATCGCCTCGCGAAACTTCTCCTTCAACCCAGAAATAACTGAGAATCCAACCACCATAAAAAAAAAAATATCAAACCATTCCGAGGAAATTCGCGATCCGATTAGAGAAACAACGAGAGAGAGGAGAAGGATGGAACGTACTGGGATGGGCGAGGGAGTTAACGGGAGGGTTGGAGATGGTGATGACTGCAACTCCGTCATGTCCAACTTCGATCGTCACTCGCGTCTCCGCCATAGCTTCACCGATTTTCCAAGAGATTTTCTCGGGAAAATACAGAACTGACAAGGTGTGTATATATAGGAGACAACGCCGAAAGCGGATAAAGAAAGAGACCGAACCAATCAGAGAAATTCGGCAATACCGAAGACCGAATTGCCCATCCCTCTCACCGTCCCCGTTATGTAAACGGTCCAATCCCCCGAATTTATTACTTATAAAGCTAAAAATATCCCACAAACGAAAAAGCCAAAAAAAGCTTAACAATGTGTAGTTTTTTTTTTGAAGAATTTATGTATTTTTTACATCATACTATAATAATAACAACACTCGTGATCTAAAACACAATTCCGATTATTTTATATTTAATTTCGGGTATGAATTTTTTAGTTTTAAAAATAATTATATTCATTCGAATTTTATAGAATTAGAATGAAACAAAAACACCACTGGCACTACCAAGCTCTGACAATGTCTAAGCAATGCAATAAGAGAAATCAGGCTTCTGAAAATTTAACGAATTGGGAAAATCAGGAGAATTTAAAAGATTAAAAAAAAAATTTGTTTTCAGGTGAAACAATCAAATATCTAAAGCACACAGGCAAGAAGGAGCTACATTATACAAAAAGCTAAGATACAAACTGAATGTTACAATGTACCATTCTCACACACTCAGACACTCTCATCTCAAGAGACTTTGTCCGGAGCTCTGAACTCTCCCCGTCTCTCTCGGCTCGGCCGAATCTATAAGCTTCGGGTTCTCTCTGCCGTCATGTGTTTATCCACTGTCGTTAATATCTGCGGCATCGACATTCCACCCGATACAATGATCTCTGCATCAAAACGAAAGCATTTTAAAAGGGTTTCATAGAACTTTAAGAGCGTTTTGGTGACAACCAGCGATTTGGCGTTTGCGTGGTTTTGCCCAACCGCTAAACGCTGCAACCAACCGCTAAGACCCTTGGAGAAAACATGTTGATTTGAGAGTATTCTCTTGTTCTCAGCAATCTCTCACCATGTCTGAATTCAAAACGGCCAGTTCTTACCTATTCCCTCTCGGACAGAGAGATTTGGTCTGATGACATCCTTTGTGTTGACCAGGAATATATCCCCAATGTAGAGATGGTTTGTGGGCACATATACACAGCAAAGTTCCTCTTCCCCCGAGTAATTCTGCAGAGTTACAATATCACCAGCTGCTCAAAACTCGGGCTAAAATGAAACGGCAAGTTAATAGCTTGGCTTTAAAACGATGGCCCAGTAAATGTGAGATGGTAAATCCAATAACCAAGTAGTATCTTTTACTTGCCTGGAGAACAACGGTCGATGTGATGAACCCGAATGCATATTCTCCAATACGGGGATGTCTGATGATCGCGACTTCCTTGAAGGCCTGAGTGTTTTGATCTGAAAAATTAAGGGAAAAATGGATATGAATTGTCATAACTGGAAATCAGACCGACTACAGCTACAATATCGAGATGGAAATGATCCTAAGCGAGAACCAGGTGATATGGCAGCACTGATTTGCTTGGAGGCATTGTAGATGTGACGAACAAATGGCATCCGCTTGATGAACCACTCTCCCAGGTTCAGAACTGATGCTCCCAGCCACGAAGACATGAATACCCCGACCAAGAAGATGAATGTAATGGAAGTCATGAAACCGAAACCTACCAAGCCAATCAGACCAATTAATAAACCCGTAGCTTCATATCTCCTTTAAAGTAATCTCATGACAACCAGATATAAAGTTATTGATACAATAACATGTATACAGGAACACTAACCGAAAATGTCAATTCCAAGTTGTGCAAATATTGGAGAGAAAAAGCCATCAACAAAGTGAATAAACCACCAAGTTATGTAGAAAGTTATCGCCATGGGAAGTAGGATAACGCTGCAAAGCAAATCACCGAGTTAATAGTCAACCAACACCAATTTTCGGAATTAGAAACATTAGCAAAAAGAATGAACAAAAAACAAAGGTATGTGACAAACTTCACAAACACCGATATTGGAAATAAACTGGAAAACTTATCTCTGGCAAAGAGATGCAAGAAAGAAAAATGCATACCAGCCAGTCATGAACTTCTTTGATGCCCAGCCCCTAATGAACTTGCACACAGTCTACGCACAAAATGAAGCAAGATAGGTGAAAATAACAAAACAGAGTCAAACACTTTGAAATGTAACATCTGATCAATTGGAAAATCTATTCCCTGGTTGATCAGAAATATACCCATTTGGATAAATCTATATAACAATCACGAGAATTCATGAGCCGCTGAGATCTTCGTCCAGTGCATTTGGAATGATACTATCAACAACAACAGATCCATCTTATCCACTGGTGCGGTCTCATCCATTCAACTTGCCTAAGAAAATGTCTATCATAGTTCAAATCTAGGGCCAAAAGTCCAACATTTCTAAATAGTTTCAACGAATTAGCTTTAGATCTCTCAGATCTTCTCACACCATGCTACGATCTAAACTACGCAATTCTCCGAATCTAAAATCGATTCAGTGCTAAACTCAATCGAGCTCTGAAGCGAACTACCCATGGAATCGCCATCCCACAAAAACCAAAACTGTAACCGAAAGTAGGGGAAGGCCCCACGGATCAAGAGAAGGAGAAATCCAGACCTCGTGACCGGCTTGATGCGATGAAGAGGATGAAGAGGAAGAAGAAGACGGCTTCTGGGATGCGCCGTCGTCTTTTTCGCCGGAATCGGACACCGGTATTAGAAGCTCCCGATCTCTCTCTCGATTCGCCATCACGATTGCCGTCTTCTCATCGCCCATCTTCGAGCCCTTCCGAGAAATCGGGCGAAAACGAATCCACTCGAAGAACAACAACAGCAACAAGCAATGAGCCGTCGGATTTCGACGGCGGAGCGAGAAATCCCAAATGCAGAGCCTTTTACCGGCACAACTGTACTCGTATTGTGTGCGCCACTGCCTAAGTTGAGTCCGGCTAAAGGCTGAACCTTGAAAGTGAAGTGATTGTTTTTTTTTCTCGAAGTTAGGATTATGGATATTATTATTATTATCGAAATTCCCTCTTTGATTTCAAACATACGTGTATTATATATTTTGGTAAATTGCCAGTTACATTTTCGCTTGATTTATATACACTCTTATCATTAGATATACAATAATAATATCAGGGTTCGTTCGGTATTTGTCTATATTGATATATAGAATATACAGAAATATTTTCTGTAAACGAAATTAATATTTAATTTATAAAAGAGTACATGTATTTAGACGTGACAAACAATATTTATAGTTATGTTTACCCAAAAAAAACAATATTTGTAGTTATCCAATATACAAAGTGGATAATATAAGTATGTATGCATTCAATATAAAAAAATAAAAAGTTTTTTTTTTTTTACTTAGTTGAAGTGAAGAGAGTAAATATAAATTTGATACTATAGAAACCATTTGATGTCCATTTTTTTAGTATATATGTAATAGATATTTGAATATTAATTTCTATATATCTAAAAAATTTCACACACCGTTTTTTCTTAATTTATTTTTAGGTTTTGATTTTTGATAATTCAATCTATTCAGAGATTTAGTTTATATACTATTTAGATAGAAATTTATACTCAAAATATGTGAACGATCAACACTTTGCTAACAAATCTTGAAAATGGGTAAGACAAGTTGATATAATTTAAAATTTTATAATAATTTCATTAGTAATATTTGAAAGAGAGAGAAAAAAAACGAAAGGAGAATATTGATGATAACAAGTAGAAATCAGATCACAAGTGAATCAAGCTTTGCACAGGCATGTGAGCTTAGTAGATTCAAGACTGAGTTTCATGCAAAGTCCTCTCATGGTAAATTGAGATTCTATGCATCTCTTGTTGCAATCTTTAATTTGTGCACATGGACCCACGACACCAATAATTCTCCTAGAGCTACTTTCGCCCTCGAGCAACCTTGTTATACCAACACAATATTATTATTATTATTATTATTATTATGCAATTTTGTAATTTGATAATACAAGAGGACAAAAAAAAATATTTATAAATATTGATTTAGAAATATTTACCCGAATTCAAAAGAGCGAACAAACAAAAGAACATAAGGAAGAAACATTTGAAAGAAGAAGCCATCTCGTTTTGTTTGTGTATTTTTTGGTGATTAAATTTTATAATATGAGCAACTACACCGTATTTCATCTGTTTGTATAATTAAAGACCAATGATTCCATATGTTTTGATTTCTTATTAATTTTGATTTGATTCCATATGTGCTTGATCATGGAATTAATATTTTCAGTAAAGACTATTCAAAACAAAGATCTAACGGGCATGAATGTCGCTGTCTAAAGGGGACAATATTAAGAATTATTCCACATTGAAAAAAGAGAGGGATTTTGGACCAATATTTAACTTATTTAGAGTTGGAAAAATTAAAAAAAAACACTAAACTTTTCAATTTTGACAAAAAAACACCGAACTTTATTTTTTGTCAAATAAACATTAAATTTTTTTAAACAAATATAAAAAACACTAAACTTTTTAAGTAATCCAAAAAATACATGAATTTTTCTGCGAATATCAAAAAAACACTAAACCTTTCTAGTGATCCAAAAAAAGACACGAATTTTTTTCGATTGTAAAAAAGAACTAAGTAAAATAATCTGACGTGTTTGCATCTCATTGTTTCACGTCAGTCATTTTGTTTATTTTGACAATCATAGAAGAGTTAAGTGTTTATTTTGACAAACTTAAAAAGTTTGATATTTATTTGATAAAATAAAAAATTCAGTGTTTTTTTGTCAAAATTTGAAAGTTCAATATTTTTTTTTTGATTTTTCCTTTAGAGATTTATTTTACTCAAAATATGTGAATGATCAACACACTTTGCTAACACATCTTGAAAATGGATAAGAGAGATTAATATAATAATTTTATTATTAATATTTGAAAGGGGGAAAAGAAATTGAAAGGAGAATATTGATGATGGCAAATAGAAATCAGATCACGGGTGAATCAATTTTGCAAAGGCAGATGAAATCAGTGGATTTAGTGCCGAGTTTCATGCAAAATCCTCCCATCGGAAATTGAGATTTTATGCATTGCTTATTGCAATCTTTAATTTGTGCACATGAACCCACCGGCACCAATGATTCTCCCGGAGCCACTTCCGCCCTCGAACGACCTTGTTACATCAACACATTGTTGTTATTATTTTTATTATTTAATTTTGTAATTTGATGATACAAGGAGGCATAAAAAAATATTTAAGAATATCATTTTAGAAATATTTACCTAAATTCAAGAGAATGAACAAACAAAAGAACACAAAGAAGAAGCATTTGGAGGAAGAAGCCATCTCGTTTTGTTTGTCTTTTTACTTGGTGATTGAATTGTTGATATGACATGCTAACTGAACTGTCACATTAAAAAAAATAAAAAATATAGACGTATATGCATAGACACACATGCATTTTACACATAGAAACATACATATATATACACATATAGCTATACATATATATATATACATATATATAAACATACATACACATACGCAGTTGGTTTTATATTTCATAAGAATATACATTAAGAAAATATTGAAATAATTTCACCATTTTTCATTGGAAAAGTATCTTCCAAATTAATGCATCAACTATATACACATATATGTAAATTAATCGATTATGCGGAATTACACCAACAGTTAAGTGCATGTTTCTTTTACAATGAAAAAGTCTTTAACGACGAGATTTTTGTGTTGGCAAAGGCTTTATTTTTGTAGCGCCCAAACATAGCATTTGAAAAGAAAAGTGTTACTCCACAAATATTATATATGAGATATAACTAATAATTTGATTTATTTTATAAATATTCTATTTATTTTTTTTTGTAGTTTACTAATTCTAGGAAAGTATAATAACAAAGGAACTCATTTGAAGAAATTATTTTGAGTTTTATTGATCTTGCAAAGAGAACATAGGATATAATTTTGTATAGCAAAGGAAATTAATTTCCTTGATTATATATTTTTTTTTCTAGCACATGTATTAATGATTAGGTTAACATTTCACGAATGGAGTTGTGTTACGGCAAACGACTCTAGCATTTTTGCAGGTCGCTCGGGTCTCTTCTCCATTGACTGCCGATTGAATGTTCACTTGCTCCAAGACGACGCCGTTGCATCCTTTAACGCCGCTGCATTCCAATTTTATCGCCTCTTCCTTCGCCGAAGTCCCGCGAAAACCTATGAACTTCACGTCGCTTATCTCTACTGCGGAGTTCTGCATGCATGCACATGTACGTACGTATCAAAACATTTCCTATATATATATTAGAGTATTTATTTATTTATTTAAAATATGTATTAGGGTTTCCTAACTTTATAACTCTATAGAAATGTCTTCATCTATGTCACGACGGAATAGATATAGAGAGTTGTATAAGAAATTTTAACTTACTCCTTCCTGGCAATTAGAGCCACAGCCGTAGTACTGATCGATTACAATCGGGTTTTTAGTTTCCATCAATTTGATGTTCTCATATATTACATCCTTGACATAACCTGATCCTCCCTGCACATATTTTACTGACCTTTGTTATATGTATATGCATATATATATATATAGAAGCATATGTATTATAACATGCATGCATATATAGAACGTGTAAATGTACAAAAATATGTCCATTTTATAATATTACAGGCCATGTCTTGATTCTTGCTCCATTATCAGTTCTTGTGAAGGTACAATTCTGAACTCGAACTCGTTCGACCGTCTCCCTCTGTCCATTGCGACCTAGACTCCCGACACTGTCACATATATCGTCATGTTGAAATTTTAAAAAATATGTAATATGGTAAATATCGTTTATATAAGTTTTCTTATACAATCTGACAAACCTAAGTCCATGACCGGGACCGCACTGGATATTTCTAATGACAATGCCGGTACAACCTCCGTTTATTGCAACGCAATCATCACCTGCATGAAATTATCAATCCGATTAATCAAGGAACCATATATATATATATATATATATATGTATATATAATATGATAATGAATTAATTAAGGCTTTTAAATTAAATTGCCTGTTCCCATATGCGAATCGAGTATATCGATTTGGTTCGATCCAGAGATATCAATTCCATCCGTGTTTGGGCTATCTTCTGGTGCGGTCAGATTCACGTTGGATACCGTCGCTTGGACGCAATCACTAATACTAATGTGATTTTTTGGACTGTTTATTGAACTGAATCCTCTCGCCTGAAGATTTTTGCAACTTTGGAAAGCCAATGACTGCAACGTGTATATATATATGTGTGTGTGTGATAAAAGATGGTGAATATATATAGTTGTAAACCGGTCCAAATTAATATAAAATAAACCAATCCGGAAGAGGTTGCATACGTAGAGTGATTAGAGGTTAATTCCATATATATATGTATATATATCCACTTACCGTTGGTCTGTTTGTATCGTCTTTGGGTTTTGCCTGCAACATTTGGAAAAGAAATTTCAATGAGTAATTTAAAATGTTTGTATCAATTCATATTTATATTTTTAAAAACAACAAGGGAGGGAATAATCGTGTGTGGAGAGTGGTACGTACAGCTTTCCACCAGGGCTCACCCCGACCGTCGATTTGTCCAGATCCTTCAAAGACAAGGTTATCCACTCCATGGAATTTGATCCATTTATCCTTCTGATCCCCTAACCATCCACTTCGCTCCGGTCCAACAAGATTTCCGAGCAACTATACTCAACAAATAATAATAACAATAATAAAATAATTATTATTCATATAGATATACAAACATGTGTGTACATATGCTATATATATATAGATACCTCAACATGAATGGGAGATTTACAAGGACCCTTGAAGACAAGAGGCTGGAGTAGAAAAGTTTTGCCCTTTGGAATTCGTAAAGTTTGACGGTCACTTGCTGCACACACCTCTTCCCATGCTTTTAGGAACGCCTTGCATCATACCACCACAACTTATTTTGTGACTTTTATATATATATAAAAAAAGATACATTTACAAAATCTATATTAATAATAATAAAAAAAATACAATATGAATTATTTTTCGAATGGAATGATTAATTTGAAATCTCCATTCAAAAATGAAATAATTCACTAATCAGATCAGATTTGTTTAACATATGTATAGAATTTACCTTTGAATCATCTGTTTTACCATCTCCTTTGGCACCAAAACTGGTCACATCAACACTATTTCCCAACTCCATTAGTCCGGCATAGATTATTAGAAAACTAAGTAATAATTTCTGAACAAATAATTAAATTAATTTAATTAATAAGAGTATAGAACAAAAAACTTTAGTAATTTTGTCAAACAAAAAAATGTATTACAAAAAAAACATAAATCATCCTCACCGCCATTTTGCAATGCTCAAGCAAAGAGAAGAAAATTATATTTTATTTTTGTTTGTTTTATGTGAATAACTTTGGGCTATATATATACAAGTACATAGTTTTACAATTATTGACATTCATAATTAACAATGTAAGAGTGGTTTATGTTTGTGGATCTTATTTTTAATGAACCTATATATTATTTTCCATTATTTAATCTACTTTGTATATTTAGTTATATTGGGAATCTGATATTATACTATGAATGAATTGTTTTTGTTTGGATCCATGAATGATATATCTAGTTTAATTAATATAGTACTCATTATTTGTAAAATTGAAGGAGAATTTTACACATCCATGTATTAAAATTTTGAGTGTTATAAATAAATACATTTCATTGATTTTCTTTTTTTTCCTTATTTTAGAATTATATTTATTTATATATTTTTTTATAAGACGATAGTTGAAACTATGAAAAGAAGAAATCGATAGTTTTTCAAAAGAAAATTTTCAATAAAATTCAAAAAATAGTATGGGATAAAATTAATAATTAGTTTTATCACGCACCAATTCCAATGTATAATGAAAGTATAATAAAGAAAATCAAACATCGATAACCCTGTTTAAAATATAGTCAAACCCTAATAACAAAAGAATCTATTTGTAATTAAATATACTTTTATATTAAGATATTTTTAATAAAATAGAATAGAATCATAATAATAATAATAATTTAATTTTTAGGACAAATGCAGAAAAAATCTCAAACTTTACAACTTACTAAAATAAAATCTTATACTTAAATTTATTAGTTAAAAATGTGAAACAAACGGATTTTAGATAATAAAAATGATATATTATTCATTTATATTTTAAATTTATTTGCTATTCAAAGTCGAGATAATTGGAAATTGTTATATACATTGGGTTATAAAAATTACTTGTTTAAATTTTATTTAAAATGAATACAATGTCGTTTATAAAAAGATAATCGGAGATAGTTATATACGTTTGGGGTTAACAAAAGATAATATTATTTCAAATGATTGAAATGAGAGATAACATTATTTTCTCTTCAGTTTTGTTTGAAGAAAATGTAGAGATTATCTATTTTGGTAGTGGTTTGATTCTTATATAATTTTAGAGGCATTATCTTTAATTTTGGTTTTGTTCTTGCATTCATTTTCATTGCACTATTTTCTATTTATAATGTCGAGAGATGTAAACCTTTTCTATTTATAATATCACGAGATCCAAACCATTCTATTTATTGAGTAATCTTGATGAGGTTCCAATAATAGATATTATTTTTTTTAGATTAGTACATTGTATTCACCTATTTAGCTTTAAAAAAATATATATGATTTTGGCATTTAATTTCCATTTAGTTCATTTTCTATTCTATGTCACCTTCGAATTTAGAATCTCATTAGATCAAATATTCATTTTAAAACAAATATTTTATGTTATTCTTCCATATTTTGATTCGAATTCTATTATTTTGATTTGTGAATGGAAATACGCAATCGGTTTCTATTCTATATATTTTGTGAATTGCCAGTTTTTTCACTTGATTAACACAATCTGTCATTAGATATACAATAACAATATCAGGATTCGTTTGGTATTTGTTTATATTGATATATAGAATATACAAAAATATCTTTTGTAAACAAAATTAATATTTAATTCACCTATTAATTGGTGACAAAGATCCTGGGTTCATATAATAAAGAATGGCCTAATTAATTGTATGACTAAATATTGATTACAGGATTATGTGAAACCGAAAGCCTAATATTTTCTAATTATAAAAAAAAGACATTTAATTCATAAAAAATACATGACAAAGAATATTTATAGTTATCTAATATACAAAGTGGATGCATGAAAATAAAAAAATGAAAAGTTTTTTTTTACTTAGTTGAAGTGAGGAGAGTATAAATATAAATTTGATACTTGGTAGAAGCCAATTGAATTCTTTTTTTTAGTATATATGTAATAGATTGATTTTTTCTAAGTTTCAAAATTTTCGGAATGATTTAAATTCGGTATAAATATAAATTTATTTCTTGATAAATTTACGTTTGGATATATTGAATCTTAATTTCTATATATCTAGAAAATTCCACACACTATTTTTTCTTAATTTATTTTTTGGAGTTTTAATTTTTGATAAATTTGATTTATTCAGAGATTTATTTTAGGTATCATTTAGACAGTAACTTAATAATCAAAATATGTGAATGATCAACACTTTGCTAACAAATCTTGAAAATGAGCAGACAGATTAATATAATTTTAAATTTTATAATAATTTCACTAGTAATATTTGAAAGGAAAAAAATGGAAAAAAGAGAATATCGATGATGGCAAGGAAGACGCATTTGGAGAAAGAAGTCATCTCGTTTTGTTTGTGTGTTTGCTTGACGATTAAATTTTATAATACAAGAAACTACATTGTACTCTGTCGATTTATATAATCAAGGACCAAGGTTCCATGATACTCATGGGTTTCTGTTATTTTTGTAGAAAGTCTTGACTGGATGTAAAACGTTTTTTTATTTTAATACAAATCACCTTTAACCAAAAAAAATGACCAAGGTTCCATATGTTTTTATTTCTTATTAAATTTGATTTGATTCCATGTGTGCTTGATCACATAATTAATATTTTCAGTAAAGACCATTCAAAATAAAGATCTAAAACATGATATATTTGGATTTTATAATATATTTTAGAAAATCTTCATATTCATATATCATTTAATAAGATATTCATTTCTTAAAAATATTTTTCATTTTATTTCCCAATTTTTTCAGATATTTTGGTTTTAAATCTATTATTTTAATTTATAAAATGGCATGCAATCTTATTTTGATTTGATTCGATTTATTTATATTTAAACTTGTGAACTAAAATATAGGGAAAAAATCCAAATTTTGATATTTTTTAAAAAGAATAATCCAAAAAAACATAGAATTTGTTTTAAAATGTTTATGACCTTCAAAAATAAAATTTATTAAAATTCAATATAAAATATCTAAAAATACTCATGAATATGACAAAAAAAAATTTGTAAAAAATTGATAATTTATCATCTCCTTTTATACAAAACTTTTGGGTCGTTTAACAGAAAATACTGCTCACATGGCACATTGAAATGTTGATATGACATGCTAAATGAACTGTCACATTAAAAAAAAATATATATATACACATATATACATAGACACACATGCATTGTACACATAGAAACATACATATATATATATACACACATAGCTATACATATTATAATATACATATATATAACCATACATACACATACACAGTTGGTTTTGTATTTCATAAGAATAAACATTAAGAAAATTTTGAAATAATTTCACCAGTTTTCATTGGAAAAGTATCTTTCAAATTAATGCATAAACTACATACGCATATATGTCCAAATAATCCATAAAAATTAATCGATTATGCGGAATTACACCAACAGTTAAGTGCATGTTTCTTTTACAATGAAAAAGTCTTTAACGACGAGATTTTTGTGTTGGCCAAAAAATGCTTTATTTTTGTAGAGCCCAAACATAGCATTTGAAAAGAAAAGTTTTACTCGACAAATATTATATAGGAGATATAATTAATAATTTGATTTATTTTATAAATATTCTAATTTTTTTTGTAGTTTACTAATTCTAGGAAAGTATAATAACAAAGGAACTCATTTGAAAAGATTATTTTGAGTTTTATTGATCTTCCAAAAAGAACATAGGATATAATTTTGTATAGCAAAGGAAATTAATTTCCTTAATTATATATATTTTTTCTAGCACATGTATTAATGATTAGGTTAACATTTCACGAATGGAGTTGTGTTTTGACACATGACTCGAGCATTTTTGCAGGTGGCTCGGGTCTCTTTTCCTTGGGCTGCCGATTGAATGTTCACTTGATCGAAGACGATGCCGTCGCATCCTTTAACGCCGCTGCATTCCAATTTTATCGCCTCTTCCTTCGCCGAAGTCCCGCGAAAACCTATGAACTTCACGTCGCTTATCTCTACTGCGGAGTTCTGCATGCATGCACACGTACGTATCAAAACATTTCCTATATATATTAGAGTATTTATTTATTTATTTATTTAAAATATGTATTAGGGTTTCCTAACTTTATAACTCTATAGAAATGTCTTCATCTATATCACGACGGAATAGATATAGAGAGTTGTATAAGAAATTTTAACTTACTCCTTCCTGGCAATTAGAGCCACAGCCGTAGTACTGATCGATTACAATCGGGTTTTTAGTTTCCATCAATGTGATGTCCTCATATACTACATCCTTGACATAACCTGATCCTCCCTGCACATATATATATGAACAAATGTATTAACATGCATGCATATATAGAACGTGTAAATGTACAAAAGTGTGTCCATTTTATAATATATTACAGGCCATGTCTTGATTCTTGCTCCATTATCAGTTCTTGTGAAGGTACAACTCTGAACTCGAACTCGTTCGACCGTCTCCCTCTTTCCATTGCGACCTAGACTCCCGATACTGTCACGTATATCGCCATGTTGAAATTTTAAAAAATATGTAATATGGTAAATATCGTTTATATAAGTTTTCTTATACAATCCGACAAACCTAAGTCCATGACCGGGGCCGCATTCGACATTTTTAATGACAATGTCGGTACAACCTCCGTTTATTGCAACGCAATCATCACCTGTATGAAATTATCAATCCAATTAATTAAGGAACCATATATATATATATATAATATGATAATGAATTAATTAAGGTTTTTAAATTAAATTACCTGTTCCTATATGCGAATCGAGTATATGGATTTCGTTCGATCCAGCGATATCCACTCCATCTGTGTTTGGACTTTCGTCGGGTGCGATCATATTCACTTTCTGTACCGTTGCTTTGATGCAGTTGCTAATACTAATGTGATTTCTCGGACTGTTGATTGAAGTGAATCCTCTCGCCTGAAGATTATTGCAACTTTGGAAAGCCAATGACTGCAATATATATATATATATATGTGATTAAAAAATG